ATAAACTAATAGCTTAAATACACATGGTAACGATATTTTCACATGTGAAAATAACATGTTATTTTCACATGTGAAAATATCAGTTTCTCGAAAAGGAGAAATATAGGTATTTTAAGGCCAACGCTTTTGGTACTTTGAATCCCGCGAGTCTTTTATGAGTAGAAAGTAAAACGGTGATGGCTCCTAAAGTAGTGTATTGAGAATCAGAGCAGTGTTTGTATATGCTTTGGGTGGTAACCAACTCGAAAGTTTACACTTTTGGTGGCTATACTAATATTTGCTCAACCAGAACTCAACCAGAACATTCATTACCCAAAGACAAATACGAAAGAGACCATTTGTGATTGGTTAATACGGCTCCCTCTAGCCAGACCCAACATCGTTTTGGGGTAGTGGGGGGTCATCGTACGTATGGAAAATAGCTGATCCCCCACCCATTGTGTGAATGACCACTATTGAACGTTTGCTTTGAGCATGCGCCCGTTCCAATTAAGCTAATTGCTATTGCCACCTTTTTTCCATTTTTGAGATAAACCATTGAAAAAGCTTGAAAATATGATGATTTGCGTTTTTCTCATGCAATGCTTTCGTAGTATGAATATGCCTACGGCGCATGACTAACTCTTTAGGCACAAGTCTGCGATGCGTTCCCAAACATCCCACACGGAATGAGTCAACTACAGAAAGTTTGTCATCAGAGAAACAATTTCGTTTCGCTGGTCATAGCAAGGGGTTAATCTTACACGGTTTAGGGGCCGACTAACCTCTCCCTTAGGCTTCGGCCGAGCTTCCTGATCAGTCATTATGGATAGCGGTGTCGGGGCCGAAATCTCCGGCATAGCCGTAAATGCTTCGCGCTGCCATACTGCGCTTCAGCACTACGTTTGGAGGTATGGTCCTATTCCAAAGAAAGAGTAAAAAGAACGAAAAGCAAAAAGATAAAAAGTTAAAAGTGGAACATGAAGAATTAGAACCAGCAAAACCAGAGTACAGTGATGCTTCTCAAGTGCCAGTAGTGATGGATTTAATGTGACGATAACCGAGCGATGACTACGATTATGATACAAGATGATAGAAGCAAAGGTGGGTAATGAAGAACAGAACACACTGATTGACTCATTGATTTCATAATAGGGAACTCCAGGCAAGGGCGCCAGGACAGACGGATTGGGTTTTATTTATGTGTGTTTGTTTCAGTTATTCGTAGATTTCTAATTGAATTGATATATGTTTGTTTCTAAATGGATACTAAATAGTGTTCACTTACCTTTCCATCCAACGGTCTTTCTGGTTCGAATCAGCCGTATTTACCTTCAGTACAGTAAAATAGACTGTACTGTACTGAAGGTATATTTGATTAACTTATTAAAGGAGAGTAATCGCTAACGAAGCGACGCCGGCGCTGCTTGGCACGGATAGTGCAGCGGTAAATACTCAGAGCGTACGTACAGCTGATTCAAACCAGAAAGACCGTTGCTGGACGTGGTAAATATATTGATATCGTACGGCTGATTCGAACCAGAAAGACCGTTGGTGGACGTGGTAAATATATTGATATCGTATGGCTGATTCGAACCAGAAAGACCGTTGCTGGACGTGGTAAATATATTGATATCGTACGGCTGATTCGAACCAGAAAGACCGTTGGTGGACGTGGTAAATATATTCATATCGTACGGCTAATTCGAACCAGAAAGACCGTTGCTGGACGTGGTAAATATATTGATATCGGACGGCTGATTCGAACCAGAAAGACCGTTGGAAAAAATACGAAATCTATGAATAACTGAAACAATCACACATATTTAAAACCCAATCCGTCTGTCCTGGCGCCCTTGCTCCAGGCGGCAAAAGCCAACAAAATTTTCCCTTTCGTCCTGGAAGTTTAATGCTGCACAGAAGAAATTCGCTTTTCCCAAAATTATTTTTACGATGTTAAAAAGCTTCTCCCCAACCCCCCACTCCGGCCGTTTCGCAGGCTAGGACGACATTTGATCACCCACCCTCAGTCATTCTATAACTACTCACTTATAAAAAGTTTGAAGTTTGTAATGATGTACATTTCATTGGAACCAGATTTACCATAGCAACGAAACAGTGACGTCAATGTTTTAAATTAGCAGCAATTTTACGCCTGATTCGATATAGAATTTACAAATGACAAACTGGAGGCTAATCTTGAGGCATTTGCCTATACTTTTGCGAAGTTTAGAGAAAATCTCAAAGGCCGATTTTGAGATATTTGAAGCGATAGTTTAAAGCCCTAAAATTCAGAATTTGTCGTTTCTGTTACGATTTCTCAGTTACAAGAATTAATAACTCAAAAATTACTTTTTTACTTAAATTTTGCCGAATTTCCGAAATTAAGAGTGCATAAAAAAGAAACTATTGACGAAGTTTAAAAAAACTGATATGGGTCTTACTTATGGAAAAAGCGGTAAGTGTAGATTTTCTTGCACTCGTCTTAAAAAGTTGTTCTCTCTTTTTGCTCGTATTCGGTGATAGAGATTGGATAAAGATTTGAATAAGTTATTCTGTGGTGGCAGAGAGAAGAATATGAAAGCCAAAAAGATATCAGATGCTGCCGGAGTTGCTGTGTGAGTGGCAGAGAGAGTATGGGCGTCTAAAGTCAATTCGGTATAGTGGCGGATATAGTAATGCAAAGCTTTCACTAGAAGGCCGCAAGAAAGGATTTCAATATGTTGCTCGGCCGTGCAGCCGGTGTTTGTCCGAGAAGAATTTTTTGGTTTGTAGTTTCGGGTTTTGTTTTCTATTTTGAGGGGATTTTAGCAAGGAAAAGTGCGCTGTTTTTCTTTATTCCTTATTCACCGGTCGAGTATTCGAGTCGATATAATCTGATTTGCAAATCTGTTTCTTGAGTGTTTAACTTTTGCTGTGCACATTGCTCAAAAGCGGTGCCGCGCGCCCCTTTTGTTGGTTCACAGCTTTTTAAAGCAACAGTATTTAGGGCGTTGTCTGCGAAGACGAATTATGATTAGACTTCCTTTTGGTGGTTCGGAGTAAGACCACGGTTTCGTTGTTGTTGATGTGCATGCTATGATTTCTATAGATATAGTTCGGGAACCTCTGGTGTGAACTTCTAGTGCATTGTCAACTAATAAGCTAGTAATGAATTCGTTGATAGGTTTGGGTTGATTTTATATTCTATTGATGTTTTCCTCATAGGGTGATCACCAATTTAAAAATTCCCTGACTTTTCCCTKACTTTTCCCTTACTAAATAACAGTTTTCACTGACCTTGTTGAGCCGCATGGGCGAGCATGTGCCACATGCCTAACTTTTACCTAGGCCCCGCTCTTATTACACAGGATACCCAACGTGACTAAACATAATGTACGGCATAAATGATACTAAATACATTCACATTTTTTTCATCATTTGAAAGGATTTATCAGTCTATTCGAAAATTGCAAACAGTATGAGTATCACACGGATACTCATGGTTACCTTTAAACAAAATTCCCTGACTTTTCCCTGACTTTAGCTGAAAATCGCAATTTTCCTGACTAAATAAAAAATTCCCTGACTTTTCCCTGACTGTGTTTTTCCCTGACTTTTYCCTGACCCCTGGGAACCCTGCTCGCACTCGTATTTGATCTATTACATCCATTATAAGCCTCGATTCAGAGCTCGCTAATGATCCGCCTGTCCGGCCGACGAATATAAACTGTGTTTGTTCGCTACATTTTTTGTCCATTTCCTTTCATCGTTTATAAATGAGGTGCCAGCTGTACGTGCTCTTCATGTTGAGCAATGTTTTTCTGATCCACTGTGTGGCTGCCTGAGGACTTTGGCACGGTTGCCATGGTCACCTCTGCGAACGTGCTGGTTAGGCGTGATCTAACTTAACGATCTCGTGGTAACGAAAATGCTAGCAAAGTTCATGATTACTGGTTTTGCATCCGTGAAGCCTGTGGTTTTGCTCATTATTCAGAAATCATTTGATAAGGCAAATATCACTGGATAAAAATACGAGTTTTGGTTCCTATCTTTACTAGGACTCAAATAATCCGGCTAAATTACTAGTAAAATACAGGAAAACGATGAAAACGTGGTCACGCTTGCCGGAAGAAAAAAATGTCTATCTAAAACTCTCGAGTATTTCATTTACGGTTTCTGGTTGCTTTTCTTAGGTCAATCCGTGTAGTGTTTAACAGACACCTCGGAGGCGAGGGCGAGACCAGGAATTTGTGCGGTGAAAAACAATATTTATAACTTACTATAGGGAAACCAAAACCCAGGTTATGCACGGTGCACGAGATTGTCTTGAGTACAGATTGAATTCCCCACCCCCACGATTTTGTTTTAGTTACGAGATCTACCTTTCATTCCATGTAAGCGCAAGAGTCACACAACGCTTAAGACATTTGGTAACAAAAGTAATCGTTTTATTGTTTCGATAACGATTTTTTTCAATATAAAACAACTTTTTATAAGGGAAATATTACTTTCTAATATCAAAAGCACAGATCACATTATCAAAATATACTCGCTACTAGTTGATTACAACAGAATTACTACATGTACCGGGTTTGCCGTAAATTGCTCGCGAAGTACTACAATATGTTCTCCAGTCGTTCTCTTTAGTCCTGGTAGCTTGAGGGTTAAGGATTAGAAATTTTAACGGAATAACAAATGCAAGAAGAGTTTTCAAGGGTTTTAAGTGTTCGAATTTAGAAGCATTTCCTGTGGACAATGGATGGGCCAGATTCATCGTATTCTTGCTTGGAGATCCACATCTGTTGGAAGGTGGACAGAGAAGCGAGGATGGAGCCTCCAATCCAGACAGAGTATTTCCTCTCTGGTGGAGCGATGATCTTGATCTTCATGGTTGGGGGTGCAAGGTTGGCAATTTCTTTCTGCATTCTGTCAGCAATACCTGGGTACATGGTGGAGCCACCAGACAAGACGGTGTTAGCGTACAGATCCTTACGGATATCGACATCACACTTCATAATCGAATTGTAGCATGTTTCGTGGATACCAGCAGATTCCATTCCCAAGAATGAAGGCTGGAACATGGCCTCTGGGCATCGGAATCGCTCGTTGCCAATGGTGATGACCTGTCCATCAGGGAGCTCGTAGCTCTTTTCGAGACTTGAGCTAGCTGCAGCTGTTTGCATTTCTTGTTCAAAGTCAAGAGCAACATAGCAGAGCTTCTCCTTGATGTCACGTACAATTTCACGTTCAGCTGTGGTGGTGAAAGAGTAACCACGTTCTGTCAGGATCTTCATCAAGTAGTCAGTCAAGTCACGTCCAGCCAAGTCAAGACGAAGGATAGCGTGAGGAAGAGCATAACCCTCGTAGATGGGTACTGTGTGAGAGACACCATCTCCACTGTCAAAGACAATACCAGTGGTACGACCAGAGGCATACAGGGACAAGACAGCCTGGATAGCTACGTACATGGCAGGGCTGTTGAAGGTCTCGAACATAATCTGCAATTAAAATATAAAAAACAAAACCAAAGATCAATAAAAATCCTTAAACACTTGAACAGCTAGCTAGTTATCAGTCACACAACGCCTACCGAGTAATACCGAAACTCAAATACCCCACCCACGAAAGCAATTGCTATGCTTTTTTCCCTTAAGTGGAATATATACATTTAGAATGTACATTTATTTAAACGCATCTAATGTTGCGTGACTTTTTGAGCGAGGAATTATGTAAATCTATTAATCGAACACATCTATTTACGGAATTTTGTCAACATCAATATCTCTGAATCAACTCTTATTTCACAGTGTGTTTAATATGCAGACATGTTTACGTAGAAGTTTTCTTTTTTTGCACAGCAGATGTCATATTTGGTGCCGGGTGGGATCTACTGACGATAATCTGACCAATCAGCTTACACTTTACCAAATATGGTTCGTCAGGAAAATCTTGCGTAAATAACCACAAATTGCCTATGAGCCGGCATCTCAAGTTTCCTGCTGGAAACTATGCGATTCGCGTCGCCTAGCCTAAATTTTTTCGATTTTTATTAAATTTTTCAACCGGGCGATGGCTGCATTTCCATATGCCAGACCATTTGCCTCTCTAGCATAGCGGGAAGATTGAATGTAATGACCAATGGTGTATCTCAAAGCCTCAGGTCAATCAGACTAGATTTAGTTTCCGTGTATTTTATATCGTTTCAACGGTTTCAGATAAAGGAATTTCCCTTTGAAATTTTTCTTATGAATTTTAACTACCAACGAAAATAAAAAAGATAGTTTTAAATAATTTATGGCCGTAAATCAAATTCACTTTCTATATAAAAATGAATGAATATAAATTATACCGTACAGCAAGACACCGGTTAATATTCACATTTGCATCTGTTATCAACACGTCTGGTGAACTTGAAGTGTGACAACGAATTATGTTACACTCAAAAGCAAAAGCCGGCAAATAAAAACAGCCTCAAAACCTATTGTATAAGACATTCTGTATCTTTTATGTATTGAATAAATTTCTATGTAACTAGTAGGAGGTGTGGTCGTCTGMTGTTTAATACTAGACTTATATCAAGCAAATGTTTAAAAAATCTAGATATATCTTACCTGTGTCATCTTTTCTCTGTTGGCCTTTGGATTAAGTGGAGCTTCGGTTAATAGAACGGGATGTTCCTCAGGAGCAACTCGAAGTTCATTATAGAAAGTATGATGCCAGATCTAACCAACAAAAGAGACATACTCGTTAGTATAGAGTTATAATGTTTCAATTTATATGTATTTTAAATGTTTTGAAGGCTTACCTTTTCCATGTCATCCCAGTTTGTGACGATTCCGTGTTCGATGGGGTATTTAAGGGTAAGAATACCTCTTTTACTCTGTGCCTCGTCTCCTACATATGAATCTTTCTGACCCATACCAACCATCACACCCTGATGGCGAGGTCGGCCAACGATGGAAGGGAAAACTGCTCGTGGAGCATCGTCTCCAGCGAAACCAGCCTTGCACATACCAGATCCATTGTCTACAACCAAAGCAGCAACGTCTTCATCTGCCATTTTGTATTTTTGTTAAGAGATTGAACACAGGAATAAGAACTAACAACTGTGGTACACTTCGCTACAACAACAGCTCAAGCAATGATCGAAATGGGTACGGCCGCTTTTATAGTCACCGGTACAATGGCTACACTCGTTTGACCATATTTGGGCAAAAATATGGTTCCAGGTGAATGCGGCGTTGACTCCTTAAACAGTGAGCCCGTTGTTTTGCCGATCAGCGGAAATACTATCAATTCACTCTCAATCGAAATTCTAGGGAGCATTGTCGGTCGTTTTCTTCCAATTTATTTGTCTCGTCTATTCACTGAATCACGGAAACAAACATTTGGGATCAATATTATGATTTATAGTAAAGTTTTTGGAGTATAAGGAAAAGTTTGGATATCTATTCAGTCAACGCCCCTTTAAACCCAAACAGACTAAACTAGATGTGGTTCGACACGCATAGAAGCCAAATGGACTTCATACCATATACGGTTAGAGCCTGCTGCTTCCCAAACGAGATTTACAAGTCAGTTAATCTCTAAGGGAGGAAATACTTTCATTTGCACATCTGAAGTAGAGATTTTCACTACCAACATTCCGCCTGTTTTCTTCTTTTTTAATCGTTTCTACACGGTTATTTATGGGAAGATTTTTTTCACGTTCTTGAATTTTGGCTAAACTTGACATGTTATCGGAATAAAAGCCGTCTCTTTAAATCTTCTCTGACATGTCTTTACAAAAAACGTCAATCAATTCGTAAACGCAAAGGAAGTACGTGCAGTAAGGAAGTATCGAGTTGAAAATAAATTTCTCTTATATTTCATTCTTGAAATCTTATTGATTACTTCTGTTTTGGCGAGTGAATAAAAGCCCCAACCATAAAACATTCATTCGTAAGGTAGCTCCGTTAAAACTTATCCCCGTCGGGCCGCAATCCATGATAAACTTCAAAATGCATAACTTCCGGTGAATCATCACTTCAGATGGGAATTTGAAAAGAACAGAAAATATCAACATTTAATACTATTAAGTTTTCTCTTCTCGTCATGAGTTTTATGTTATATAAGGAAAAAGTTAAAGTATATCTTGATCTACAAATTTGCATAGTCAGGCGACATATGAAAATCTTTATTTAGTTTCAGACTAAGCACTCTTTGCATATTCAGTTTCACAATAAACATCGCGTGCACAAAAAAACAATTGTGAAATTTTCCTGTTGACTTGGAAAATTCATAAAATATTGTTCAACATCTGAGTTCGAAAATTTTGCGCAGTTTGAATAATTATCTCATGCCAATCATAATTGCAAATTTTCAATGCTACAAGTGGTCGAAAGAGGAATTTAAAACACTACAAGCTCCAAAAGTACAAATATTTCTTGGCCGGCGTGCTTGCCCTGTACTGACTTAAAAGCTTGACCTTCAAAGTCACGCACACCATATATGGTTGAAGAGTTTAAATAAAGAAACGAAACGAGGAAAATATGTTTCTAGTAAGAATAAATTCCAAACGGGTTTCCAATTTTATTTTTTCTTGAAAAGAACTTTGAGTGTTGATTATGTGTTATTTTGGTGTTTTTCAGCGACAAAGAAAAAATGTTTAATCTTTTGTGGCTAACACATGTGCTGGGTGCCGTGACACGAATATTAAAATCAAACAGGCTCAACAAACAATCTGGCTGCCGGTTTTAAGATGCTGAGATCCCTATCCAAATATGGACTTTAGTTTTAAGGTTCTCACGAAGAGTGAAAGATAATAATGTATGGCTAACAAGAATTTACTTGAAACACAGTAAGAGGTCGACTTTTCTATTTTTTATTAATGCGATAATAAAAGAACATTTTACCAAAATCAATTCAATACTAATTAATAATTTTCGACAGCATTTGGTGTTTGACGTATTTCCGTTTCCATGCGGATTTTTGTTGCCTCCAGTTAATTCATACAATTATCTGTTTCTATCATTTGATTCAAAATCCACTAGATTATTTATTCTTTTTTAAATTAAGTGCGCGAAAAACAACCTCCTGTCAAAAATAAAAGATGAAGCGTTTGCGAAAGTACTATTTATTTGAATCCAGAAGTTGTCTTTGATTGGAATGACAAAGGCATGACATTCATAATTGTAAACTGTCAGACCCAAGAAATGACACAAGAATCAATACCACACCCTCCAAGCTGCGACCACCACGACGTCACATCCGGAAACAAAAGTGGCTGTCTGTTTTATATTCATCCTGTAAGCTATTCAGTATAAGGGAGTCAGTCACCTTAAACAAAGAAATAATACTCTAGGGAATAACACGTGGTTTGAAAAAAAACAGTGGATTAGGTCTATTCTCAATCTAAGTCTCATTTATATGAAGCATTATCCCTTTCAGTGTTAAATCTCTGCTGCAACTTCAAATTATTTGGAGTGTACTGTCCAGCTATGAGATGATCTTTACCCTATAGATGAAATCTTAATCCTTTAGACCTCTCATCTCTTGTTACAACCTTGTAAGAAACTAATGTAACCCTTAACAATGATTTAATACTAAAGGAAAACTTAGGTATCAAGGAATTCTATTCTGATTCTATGATTATTCTACTTATACAAGTAATATACAATGAACCTCTCAGATAACATTTTAAACTATGTGGAGTCACTATGATTACTTTCAGAGGCCATGCGACGATAACTACTGCCTCTTACGAAGAGTTGACATCTTGAAATGCTAATGTCCTTTTTAAAGGAAACAAAGTTACTGCAATTTTCTTAAACATGCAAACTCTGTGTCTGCAAGCTGCACGCTGAAATTGGTTTGTCAATCAAACCTAATCAGTCAGTACCTTTCGTATTTTTGACTGACTGCAGCGAAAAAACAAAATTTCAGTGTGCAGCTCAGAGACACAGAGTTCACATGTTTATGAAAATTGCAGCAACCTAGCTAGTGTAGTTCTAGTCCTAGGGATAATTGTTTTGCTTTTGGTTTTCCATGAGGAAGGTAAACAAAAAAAAAACTAGGATTACAAGAGTGGATCCAAGAGGGTAAACTGGGTGACTAGTCACCTCCCTTTGAAATAAAAAGGTAAGACCTAAAAAGAATGCTATATGATGTATTTCTAGCTAACAGTTACCCCCTGTGAAATAGGTTGGACCTGCCACTAGATTACCCTACCTTCATGTAAACAGGGCCTTAGAATCGGACCATATTTGTTCTTCACATGTATAAATTACTACTAAGTAGCTGACTTTCCTTCATTTTCTATTTTAAATCTTCCAAGATTTAGATAGTCTTTGTACTTGGCTGATACTAGTTGGTGTAGAAACTGAACTTGATCAGGATCACTGCAGCCATGGTCAATCATGGATGTGAGTTTAGTATTAACATCAGGTGTGATACCCATCATGTGAAGAAATCTCCAAAGAATACACAATGACAGCCAGCGTACTTCTAGGAATGGGGCATCTGTCAAATAATACACATGATCTTAATACATGGCTTTACAATATTTATTATCAATAGCCTCATTATTTTTTTGAATGGTTTACTTAATTAGGCAGCTGTGACAATAGAGGCCAAAAGGTGCCCTTAATTCTTTGGGGTTTAGAGGTATGCCCCCTCTAAATTTTGAGATCTAGAAGCCTAGAAAAAAATATCCTTTTTTATTATTATGGGCATCAACTCAACAGATGTTGATTATCTATTATTTATGTAAATAGTATCAAGTACAAATGTATATACACATCTCAAAAAAGCATAGTTTTAAAGACAGCCATACTCTTTTAAGAAATTCAAAAAATCCAGCAAAAGGTATTCGAAAAAAGGAAGTCCAATAATTTTTGCCATCTAGAAACAGTCAAGTGACTATATCCTGCAAATGGCCTATTGAATTACTGGTCTAATCTGATTAACACGAGAGTGACTGTTGTTGTGCTTGTTGTCATGGCTGCCATCACATGATGGTGCAAAGCCTCCATTTTAGTCCTACTGACACTGATCCCTGATTTCAAAATACCCAACATTGATTCGATCCCTTATCCCATCAAAATTGCATTCCCTGAACCCATAAGCCTAACCATGGACCAGGTACACAAGATGTTATAAATGTTAATGTCATACTTACCATCTGTTGTAGCGACAGGAGGCAACAGTTCTAGCAGCAGACCCAACAAGGTTCTTATTAAATCAGGTATGCCAAGCAAAGTCCTTAACAAGCTGTCCATATTTATAGCCTGAAGAAGCTTTATCATCGTTATGTTATCCCTACTCTCTTTTCTGAAAAAATGCTGCAAGATGTTTAACAACCTTGCAACTATCTCCAATCTTTCTTTGTCACTTAGAATACCCAGCCATAATATTGGGACGTGAAGTATTTGGGTTAAACTGTCTGCTGCAACCTAAATAATGAAAGAATGCTTGAAAGATGGTTGGATTATAGTACAGTAAGTTGGAATAATGGTAGCAACCATATTCGTTAATAGCTAATAAACTTATACCCATCTTCAATTATACTGTATGAAAAAAAACCTTGATAGGTGAAGAAACTTGTTAAGCATCAAAATTAGTGCCTTTTATCTATTAAACGTTAATTGAATTATAAAAGCACTATTAATGAAAGACAAACTATTGAATGACCTGTAATTTCCAAGAGGCAGGGACAGTGGAGAAGCAAGGGTACTGAGGAGAAATAATTTTTGGTAGAACTATTTAATGTATTGTATTTGTGAAAGCCATATTTTAATTAGTATCCCAGGTCAAAAAATATTATAGTTGTGGGTTGCCTGTGGCACGATTGACTCCCCACACACTCACTTCCAAAAACATTTCCACTGTCCCTGAGAGGCAACTGAAAAATTAACATCATGTATGCTATATTATGCATATGTGTAGTTTCATTCTCTACAAAATAGTCATTGATTACTGTACAGTACTGTACTCTAGCCTATATAAATGGTATTGTACCTGATTCAAAAAAGGAGTCACGTCTGTCCTTGCCTTCTCCAGAATATTCAGAAAGGTCTTGAGTGCCAAAAGAACAAATGGTGTTGACTTCTGTGGTATTATGGACACCCAGTAGTTTGCAATGTAACACAAGGAGGAACAAGCTACAATTTCACACAATCCATTGCTAGAAAACAGACAAGTGAAAAGGTTTAAATACTGCAAATAACAGCCCTGGAGTATAATTAATGGTTAACCTGATTAGAAATACTTTTTCATTCAAATTTTCTAGCCACTGCTATGGGAAAAGTGGAGGGGGGGGGGATTGACTATCCCAAACATATGTAATGTTAATTTTTTTTTTTCATTTTCATTTTGTTTTACAGATTTTAACATTTACACAGAAGTAYTTGACTGTGGTTATAATGTTAGGATAATCTCAACATAGACTAGAATATTATAACACACCACCTTTCAATATCAGCTGTTAATGAGCCCTCAATTGTTGTCATTAGGTTCTTACAAATAATGGTCACTGTTGATAAAAATGAATAAATAAAAAATAAAACACAGAAAGTAACAGTAGTAAAATAATAATGCTATCAAGTAGACAGTCTTTGTTCTTATTCATAGTTCATTCAGGGTGTTTTTGTACAAAAACATATTGCTTTTTATACTTATATGCCTTGTCAGGTGGTTTACAGTCATCATGTCCCCTCCTAATCTAGCCCCATCCATCATGCCACTCATCCCCAAATAACAGAGGACATTTTCTAATACCAACCTTGGGTTACAATGTGTTCTCCATTTGGGTTAAGCTCACCACTGAACACTCTAACAAGACTACAAGCCAAAGATCGTACCCATAAATTAGGTGAAGACATATACTGCAACAAAGAATTGACTTGAATCTCTGCACTAGAGTTATTCTCTGGTACTAACCACGGTTGATTTGCTATAGCTGTCAACCACCGACATTGCACATGCAGTGGAATTTCTGACTTTAAAATCGAAGATGTCGAGAACTGCTCTACGTCTCGCATTAAATCATGAACTGTAGCTTTTAGAGGTCTATTGTTGTATTTTGAACAAAATAGGATTACTTCTTTTTCTGTTTGATACAAGTTATCAAATGAAAAGTCTTTACTGTTGTGAATATTTACGGCCATTTCTAAAAACAAACGTTGTCCTATGTGTGTGACGAATGTTTTCCGTCAAATTTTCGTGGTAACGAATGCTATACGAACTCTTCTCGACATCATACGAAATTCTAACGGTTTTAAACCGGGACCAACCGAAACCATAACGACAAAATTATATTTTATCGGAAGCTGGTCGGAAGTACGAGCACTGCAGTATTTTATAAAATTTGGCGGGAAAATAATTCTTTTGGTGTTTCTCCTTGAATATTGATACTCTAACATGGATTTCAGCCAGCACGAGAAAGATAATACTAAGAACTGTAAAATACAGTCTCCGATTCCTGAGATAACCCGTTCAGAGCCTTGCTGTGTGGGGATAGACGAAGCAGGACGAGGTCCTGTGTTGGGTAAGTTGACAACAAGATGGCGGCTTTCATCAGTTGAGAAATTTTACTTTATAAACTATTCTTTTGAGCTCGTTTTACTTGGTTTTCTGTAGGACCTATGGTATATGGTATTTGTTACTGCCCAATATCACAGTCAGAAAAGCTGAAAGAACTTGGATTTGCAGGTATGATCATGGTATTTGCACAAATGTTCTCCAAAGAAAATTAAACTTAAACACTTTCATTTTGGTTAAATAATTTCTCTCGAAAGGTCATGACTATGCCTTTGGCATTCAGTTTTGGCCAACGATGTCCCAGAGTCAGGAGCTGGGGGRTGGGGAATGCTTGGGAACTATTTTTATGTGTAAGGGAAAAATCATTTTAATATGCCAAGATGAGGGGTGATAAAGATTTCTGCTCAAAAACCTTTTTTACAGGCCCCCTTTAAGGACTTAACTAAATTTTTGAAGCCCCTCCCCCCCCCCAAACAACCCATGAACATTTTCAAATTCAAATTGAGAGCCCACTTAACTCGTTTGCATGACAATTTTTTAGAGCCCCCTTTATGTCCCAAAACATTTTTGGGGCCCCCACATATCTTCATCCCCCACCCCCTTTCCCTCGACACATTAAATGAACTTTCCCTACTAGGTCTAGATATAGGTCTACATGCAAGTTTGGACGAGGCCATAGGCAGGCCATAGGCATTTATATCAAATATGTACATAGTCACATTGTTATAAAAAGAAAAAGAGAATACAAAACAAGAGAAAAAATGTATGATAGATGTAATTGAGTTTAACATGCTGTATGTGCATATGATTTGAATTTTTAGATTCCAAGACATTGACAGAAGAACAAAGAGAAGCACTATTTAAGACTCTGTCAGAGGATAACACTGATTTCATTGGCTGGGTGATTGATATCTTGTCACCAACCCATTTATCCAATGAAATGTTAAAAAGGTACTTAACCATATATGCCACACAGGCTTAGTGAAGTTTCGTTATACATGGATCAGTATTTAAACCATTCTTTAGCAGCTGTATGTATGATTGAAACACCAGTTATTTGTTATTTAGAACTGTAACACTGGCCTCACAACTTTGTCAGTCTATGAACAAAAAGTATATGTAATAGTAGTTTATGGGACGTCATGAGGCTTCAATTGCCCTTCCATTGTTGAGGAATGAGAGAACAGCACCCACAAACCATAATCCTAGAGCCTTGGCACATACATGCTTAAGCAAATGACTTAAGCAAATGCTAATTGCTCTGACCTCTTCAGGTCATTCATTTGATAGGAATAAGTTATCCAGTTACTATCCTAAAGCTTTGTATAGTTCGTTTTTGTTTTTGTTGTAAGCTACCTTTGTGTTTGACCCTTTTGATTGCACATTTATTTAAACAGATTGTTTTTATTGATGTTCAAGTAAAATTGAATGTTTTAAATTGAAGGGTTTCTAGACTTTCTGGCATTTCTTTGAGAAAGTACAATAGCAGATATTAGAGTTACACTCTATTTCCTTCAAATAAAATAATTTTGGATCCAGTGGATCAGTTTCTATATGTTTTTGATGTATTGACCCAAATGCCTCAACTTAAAATTGATTGAAGGCAATAAAGTGTAACTCTAATATCTGCTTTTATGACAGGGCCCTGAGGTTACTCTTAGAAGGTTTGGAGGATTCCTGTGAAAAAATTTGTTTAAATGGTTGCAGCCCTACCACTTTCACTCAGTAAGAAATTCATGACCTTCCTATTACAAGTCCACGAGAAACTAGCTTTTGTCAAAGTAAAAAGGTTTTACCCTCCACAAAAAAAATTCACACAAAAATTTCCCTCCCATTTAGGAAAAATGTCCCTTTCCTAACAGGAGTTGAGAACTCATGTGCCTATTGTTATCTACATGTATACAGGACATGTACTATACACTTAGGAAAATTAACAACTGGATAAATTGTTTTTACTTTCTTTGGTTTTTCCTATGACTCACGGTTTAGGCTGCCTTTTATTTGATTCATGTAATTTAAATAATCTTATAAGCTTTCTTTGATCTTTCATCTTAGAACAAAGTGCAGCCTCAATGAAATTTCCCATAACACAGCCATTGGTTTGATTCAGCTTCTCTTGAAGTCTGGTATTAATGTGAAAGAGGTAAATACTATAATTTGGTCTTCAATTTCTATGTTCATTCCTTAGTGGATTTACAGGGGGAGTGATGAGGCCATCTCCCCTCTTTTAGTTTGAGACTAATATTCTTACCTTTTTTGGCCCAAAATAACTCCAAAATGCAGGAAATTAATTTTTTTTTTTTTTTTTTGTAGTTTCCTTGTTAGCCTGCTCCTAACACCAAATCTCCCCCTTTTCTCAGATTCCTGGATCTGCCTCTGATATTTTTTGTTTCTTCCTTTTCTTTTCTATTTCTCATTTAAATGAGGTTAACCCTCTAGTCTAGTCTGCATTCAAGGAATGAATATACAGCTTTTTCAAAAAAGGCCGGTGAATATTTTATTGCATGCTGCATCTTGCAGCTTGCATCTTGCAATATATTATATTTATGTGTAAATTATGTCTGCACAAAAAAACATTTGCCAAAGCAAAGTGCATACAAAGTTTGGTAACATCCCAAACTGTTAAGACCTTTTGCTGAGCAGATTCACATCACCCATAGTGCAATTTGGGATTGGTATGCAACCAACCTCTTTTTAAATAGCTGTGTCTGTAGCTGTAGGGAAGCATGGGTGGCATAGCGGTGAGAGCGCTCRCCTCTCACCAATGTGACCCGGGTTCAAGTCCCGACGAGCTCCATGTTGTATGTGAGTTATGTGAGTAGAGTTGTTTGTTGGTTCTCTCCTGTGCTTCAAGGGTTTTCCACGTTCTCTGGTTTTCCTCCCTCCGCAAAAATCAACTTCTAAATTCCAATTGGAATCCATTTGAAGAAGAGCCACTCTGTGGAATCCACTGCTAATCTCATTATCTCCTTACATGAAATAACTTTTTTATTGCATGTTTTCTTTACATGTTTGCAATATATTATTTAATTTTAAATTTCCCATGCTGCAGGTTTATGTAGATACAGTAGGGGTGGCCAACAAGTATCAAGAAAAGCTCCAAAACATCTTTCCAGATCAGCAGATCACTGTTACTCCAAAAGCAGACTCCAAGTTTCCTATAGTGAGCGCTGCTAGTATTTGTGCAAAGGTTAGCTATCTAAAATTCTAATGTCTTTTGTTACAATGTGTAGTTCCAAAAAAATGTATATATATCTATACCCCACCTGCAAAAGAAATTGGAAATACTGGAGAGGAGGGGGGTCAGAGAAAGAACAAAATTACAGAGTTTGTATGGAAGAAAATGAAAGTTCCTGGGGGTAGGGGGGTCCTTTTACAATTATTCCCTCCTTGCTTTGGGAATGCATATTTTCTGGAACTACAAAATATCGTTTTTATAAACCTTTTTAGATCTTTTAATTCACTTATCAAATTAGTTATTACTGACTACGTTCTGGCTGCCCTTAGTCATTTGTGTAAAGGTAAAAGAAGAAAAGCTGTGCATGCATTCCAGCCAAGCATTTCAGGCTGTATTTTTACCAATGTTAAAATATTACCAAACAACATGAACTTTTCAATTCTTTCCTATTTTTATGTGATCTCTCTTGTGTTGGGGTTTGTTTTTGTTTTTCTTGTTTAGGTAAAGGCTCAATTGAAGTGAAATACCAATATATTGGACAGTTTTACATATTGGGTAATAAAGATAAGGAACACCAGAAAACCACACTTTTTCGGAGCATGATGCAAAATAATAATACCCCAAAAAGGAAATCACATAAAGAAACACTGATAACCTAGAATATAAAACCAAGCCTCCTCTGCAGATGTACATGTATGTATCTCTACGTTTACATCTTTGGGACTTGGGATGCCTGTGTGATATTGGAGAGGGAGGAGGGGGGCTGTGTAGATTAACCGGTTTCTTATTCTCGACTTTGAGGGTTTATAGCTAGTTATACACCTTTCTCATAAATGGCCACCAAACGCGGTTGGGACCAGTCACTATTGAATGGAAGCAAGGTCAGAAAGGCCTCATTAGTAAACAAAGTCTACTCAGTACAATCTTTTGTGTCAAAGTCATTCATTTCACCAATTCGAGTTCTTTTAAGCATCTCTTACTAATGCGGCCTTTGGCACCTCACCTTCATGCAGTTGTCCCTAGTCCCAACCATGTTTGGCGGCCATTTATGAGAAAGGTATATGGCTTCACTGTACGTGRACCTATTGTGTTTATGCAAGGTGCCTCTCAAGTTTGATTCAAATGACCCAAATCAAAATACTTTATGGACAGTAAGAAATCAGTGAACATGAAATTCACTCTCCCTTGCTCACTTACATTAATCCACACGTTGGAGGTACCACACCAAAGAAACAAATGAAAAATGCCAAAGCAACCACAGTAACGCTAATTCAAATGCAAGAATGGAAACTCTTTTTCATTTCCTTGAGCTTGCAAACGTGTTTGCGCAAACACAAATGCAATCCAAAAACTGTTTTGATCAATCTCGTACCCAGAGCCTGCGTTTCTTCTAGTCTGTGGTGAAGAACAAGGGCTCTGGCATAGTACATTTTGGCGCATGCGCAATTTTCGGGAAGTGAAATACAATCAATGATAATCATGCTTTAAAACAGAGTTCTATGTTTACTTCCGAGCACAACAAAAATTAGAAAACAGGAACATATTTATTTTTAGCAAGTATTTTAACACATGCGCTCTTATACCGGATTATGCTAGAGCCCTCGTTCTTCGCCGCAGACCAGAATAAACGCAGGCTATGGATACGAGATTGTGATTTGATGGAAACAAGCACTACTGCGCATGTGTACCTAAATTTGCTAGCATGTTTTCCCCTTGGGAGTGGGAAGCTTGTGTTCGCAGGCTAAGTTCTGATTAGTTAATACGATATTTCATTTGTAGGTTGGACGAGACAGGGTGATCAAATCATGGAAGTTTATAGAGAGATTAGAAGTGACTGCTGAAGACTGCGGTTCAGGTTATCCTTCAGGTRCGATCAAAGTAGAGGAAGATCATAGCCTCCTTCAAATGCAACTCTCCGAAAAGGAAATTAGGAAAATAGGCTTCCTGTTGAGTGATATATGAGAGAGGGAGTTAGAAGGGATAAGAAAAAGAGGAGAGACTCCACAGTAACTCCATCCGCGTCTTAAGCTTAGGCTAGAGTTGCCTACAAAGTAGGCTTATTTTTAAATTTAGCTATCACTTTAATTTACGTTTTTAAGTTTTTAATGGTTATGTTCAGTTTAAAAAAAGACGATAACTACTTTAAAAGAGATTGGTAAATGTAAGAATGCCAAGTTGCGGTAGGGTAACTTCATCAAGCATTGTTGCAAACATTGATCAAAATCAGTGGCTACCCACCATTCATGGCGTACTATTTTTGTCTTTCCAGACGTGAACGATATAAATGTCTTGAGTCAGTTATTGTGATTTCTGTACTTGCAGATCCCACCACCAAGAGATGGCTAGCTGACAATGTAGACAAAGTGTTTGGTTTTCCTCAGTTAGTTAGATTCAGTTGGGCAACATGCAGTACTATCTTAGACAACAAGGCTGTTGATGTCATATGGTACTGAAAGTCTATTAATCTTTGCCGTCTGTCTAACTTAACCAATCAATCATATAAGCCACGAACTATTCATTACAAGCGGCCTTGATTCCTTGATACTGTCAGTTGAGATCTGCCACAACCAGTTCTGGCAATATTATGCTGTGCCGGATTCTAGACGTTATGGAACCTCTATACGGGACTTCCTATTCGGCTCCACCATAAAACAGCCTTGAAGCGCCTTGTTCCATTCACAGAACAAGTTTCGGCTCTCGCGCGATTTAATATTAGGTTTTCAGTTAGAAAGATTGCAGTTTCTTTCATATATATGCATTGCTACGCGCGTCTAAATACCTGAATTTGCTGCAACTGTGAGTGGTGGCAAGAAATCGCTGCTGTCCATTGGATTCAATCGGGTGCTCCTCGCGGGTACTCAACGCGGGTGTTCCTCGAGGGTGATCCAATCCGGTGTTGCTCGCGGGTACTCCTCGCGGATGTTCCTCAAGGGCGATCCAATCCGGTGTTCCTCGCGGGTACTCCTCGCGGGTGTTCCTCAAGGGTGATTCAATCGGGTGCTCCTCAAGGGTGTACATGTATGTTCATGATTTTACAAGTTTGTTTTATGATTCTTATTTAGGGATGACGATGGCGACAGTGATGATGAAGCAGCCAAAGGAACAACTGCGATCACAAACTTCTTCTCGGCTAACAACGGTAAAGATGTACCCAAGACACACAAGTTTTTCCTAGAACGTAATCTGGAGTCAATGGAAGCTTTTTAATGCATATGCACCCGTGAAGACCACCCAATTACATCATATGGATAGGCGTATATGCAGTAAGACAATGGAACTGAATTAACCCTATTAGTGGGGACAAACCCCCCCAAAAATGTTTGTTCTGACACTAGAGCCACCATACTTCACTTAGGACTGATCTTCTGGACATGTTCTGATCAACAAATGAAGTACTTATTTGGAGTATTCGTACAAAAGCCATAAGGGAGAGAGGGAGGGTATAGACACATGCAAATAAAGATTACAGAGGCGGTATTTTAGTTGTTGTTTGGTTTTCTGTTATTTCTTTTTATTTAGTACTTTGTTTGGACTGTTGTATTGTGAGCTTTACAACCAATAAACCCCTTGGTTTTCAAAAGCCTCCGTTTTCGCTGTCCACAATAAAGTTGATAAGCCTCCGTTTTTAAATGTCTCCACTCTAGAAAGCATTTTCAAATTCATGGTTTTTGATCGTCTTATCGTGGAAGAAATGCTAAAACGAATCAAACAGTAGTCGTTTTTATTGTGTAAACGCCATGTTGTGGACGAGGCCTTATTCCAGGTTCTCAGCAGATATCAGGCAATATCGTTCTCTTGGTCAGCAACGAGGCTCTATCATAATCCAACCGTAGCCCAATTTAATTGGCTGTCCCAAAGTGTTAAATTTCTCATGCGCTAACAGAGGGAAGTAAAAACCAAGCCATTAGTAACAGTTATATGACATCCGGTCAAGCTCGTCAAGGTTAAAAAAAGAATGTCGCAAAAAAAGTGGAGTTTCACGTTTATTTCCATTTTCAAAAACAAGTGCAATCATTACAAATGGAATGCATATTAAGATAGAGTGCATGCCATATATCTCTGAAAAACTTCGTAAGGAATTGGTAATTTGACCGTATACCTCAAAACTTTGCACTAATTTGTACAATTTTGTTAACTTTTCCACGGATATATGGTATGCAATCTATTTGACAAATAGCCTTTTATCTTTTTTTTATTAAAGAAAGAGGATAGTCTACTAATGGGTACGATAGGCATATAACACAAGCAGAATCTCCCGTGTGCAATACCAGGGATGTCGCCACCGGTGTCCATTCCTTTTTGAAGCTCACGATTTTTTACTCGGCTTGTTAGTTTCTTTCACTGACATCTCGGATTTTTTCCCTCCAGACTAAATAATGAATACTTTCGGCCTTTTAATGCATAAAATAGTTTTTTATCTGTGCTTGGTCACAGAAACGAGGTGCATGGCGTACGCTGCTAATGCGACGTCTTTCACTGCTGTGGTCCAACGGTTCGAATCACTGGTTCGATGCCACACTCGAATTGAGTTGATTGATATCTAGTTCTTTTTTTACTCCGGTTTTCTTCCCTCCTTGAAAATCAACCGTGAGTCGAGTATTGTGTGCATAAAATAGTGCATTGGCAAATCTTTAAATAACTGAGCTGCCAAAATAATCAGCCTGCTTTAACAAAATAAATAATATAATGATGATGGTCAAGATGATGATAATAATCATGATCATGATAATCATTACTATCATTATATAGTTTATCGTCCACTTGACAACTTTGGACAGGATCATTATATAACCTTGAATACTAGTATAAGGGCATTATTCAGGGTTTTGGAGTCTTAAATAATTCTAGCTTTCTTTATAGATAAAGCAAAGATGATAAATCGTAATCAGGCTGGGGTTAGTGTTTTGCGTAAGGCCAAAAATTACACTGCTTTACGGTTAGTTGTCACAGAAACGAGCACAGTTCAGCTTCAAGTTCCCAGTTATCTTTTCGTGAAAATCCGTCCACTTAATGACATTACCCTCAGCTGTATAACATCTGTTTGCAAGGGATGATACCTCTTCTGCTGTCAGCACCTTGTCCCACATGTTGACACTCGTCAGGTTTCCTTGAAGGGCTTGGTTACTGGAAAAACCTCCCTTGAAAGAATCCTGTTCTTGTCCAAGAACAACTGCTCCCTCCGGAATGACGTGGCCTGTTTTAAAGTTACCTTGACCTTTTGATATTCCATCGATGTACATGGAGTACTTGCCATCTACATTGGTCCATGTGAAACAGAGGTGATGCCAATGACCATCAAAGACTGGCGGAAAAGAACTATTGAGTAAAAGTGGGAAAATGTACTGTAAGTACGAGTACTTGGCACATATTTGAAGTAATTATCATTTATCGAAAGAATTCGGTTAAAAACATTTAAATTTAAAAGTGTTGAAAAAGGCCTCAGACGGTTAAGTTTCACTTGCAGTGCTTTTCATAATTCTGCGACCTACCGACACCAATCTCGTAGCCAGAGTCTATGTATCGGTTTTGGTCTGGAAACACAGGCTCTGGGCAGAGGAGAATCATATAGTGTCCCAAGTGCCTTTGCACGCTTATTGTTTTCTTTGGCTTTCACCGGTGTATGTAAATCTTTTTGTAACAATAATAATAATAATAATAATAATAATAATAATAATAATAATAATAATTTTATTTATATAGCGCAAAATTCATTAAAATATATGATCTAATGCGCTTTACAATCTTTACAATCATTAAGAATCAAACTAGACTAAAACTATGTAGATAACGACTAGTTTTAGAACTAGTTTGGACTGCGTCGGTGTTTTTTAGTTGAAACAAATGTGTCGTAGTAGATAATGTTATCACCGTAAATACGAAAGATAATAGACTAACGTCCGAAACGTCAGTCTATTATCTTTCGTATTTTAAACTAAAACTAGCCTCTTAACGAGGCTCTCCGGGGAGGGGGACTTCGACTCTCCCTCTCGCCTCTCGCCAACAGATAGTATGACCTTATAAAACCAGCAAAAATACACGGTTCTCAATTTTAACAAATTCCTATGAATTATATACCAAAAAGTTCAGAAAATACACATATATAGAATATAGCTCGGTGTGTTTGTCAGTAACCTAGCCACTGCATTTTGAACGCGTTGCAATTTATGAATATGAATAGCTGGCAGACCATATGATATAGCGTTGCAATAATCAATGCGACTTATAACTAAAGCCTGCACTAATGTCTTTGCATCTTCGAAAGGCAAGTATTTCCTAATACGTGTAATATTATATAGTGAATAGAAAGCTAACTGACACGTCTTGTTTATATGATTTCGAAATTGGAGATTAGAATCAAACCAGACACCTAGATTCCTAGCTTCAATAACTGTTAGTATAGGAGTGTCACCAATTAAGAGACTATCAGTTCTAACTTTACTGAGTTGCTGGCGAGTTCCAATAAGCATGAACGCAGACAAAAGAATAACGGTCCTAGATATGACCCCTGGGGAACTCCAAATGATAGATAAGATCTGTCTGACATTTCCCCATCAACCACAACACACTGAGAGCGATATGACAAGTAGGAGGCAAACCATTTGGGTGCATCTCCAGTGACACCAAACGACGTCTCTAGGCGGCCTAGGAGGATGGTATGGTCCACCGTAACAAAAGCTGCGCTTAAATCGAGCAGTACGAGCAAAGACACGTGTTGACGATTCATGTCAAGTACGATGTCATTCACTATTTTCAGCAGCGCCGTCTCCGTACTGTGTGATTTCCTATATGCAGACTGCAATACAGGAAACACTTCATTGGCTGTAACATGGTTGTACACCTGATCAAATACTGCTCTTTCAGTAATCTTAATTGGAGACGAATTGTAGGTTACTAACAGGACGCAGGGTCTTGTAAGTGGTATCCTTGGCGCCCTTTTCAGTAAAAGGTTCACAATCGCTTTCTTCCATTGGCCAGGGAAATGTGCAATGGACAGAGATGCATCTATTATATTCTTGATCACCGCCAGTAAAACATCTAATGATTCACAGACCAGATTAGTCGGAAATGGATCCAATGCGCATGAGGTTTTGACAGTATTTATAATAAGATCGGTCACATTAGGGCGTCAAAAGAGCTCAGTGTTTGATATGTGATATCTGTAGCATGKCTGGTGACACTAGCTTGCGGTCGGAAGAGTCAATGTCTCTACGAATGTGATCTATCTTGCGAACAAAAAAATTGTTAATTTCATTTGCCAACACAATCTTGTCAAGATGATTAGGAAAGCGCAGCACATCCTGAGTACCAAGGATTTTTTTGGCAGCGCCGAAGAGCTTTCTCTGATCAGTGCTGTAATCCTCTATAAATTTAGAGTAGAAGTCTTGCCTTGCTTTATTCATACAATTAGTAGTATAGTTTCTGTTCTTCTTGTAGTCAGCAAAATCTGCAGGCGACCGTGTTTTTCTCCACTTCCTTTCAGCCTTCCTACGCGAGCGATTGGCATTATCAATGTCATCACTATGCCAGGTGGCTACAGCCCTACTGACCATAGTACGGGTCCTAAGTGGAGCATGCTTTTCAAGCAAAACTGAAATTGTGATGTTATACGCCTTTCCGTTTGCCTCTAATTAATCAGCAGTGACTGGTTCTTCCAATGCTTAGAGCACACGAGAGACCAGACCTAGGTGGCGCAAGCCAGCACAACACAGCTGCATGTTGCGCATAGAAAGAGTCATCCTGGTGTTGCAATTCGATTGTCTGGAGCTGGTAATGCAAGAACCATTGTCCACTAGTCTTACAGGACTCGGATTAAGTTTAAAGACCAAATCCCTATTTAGCGGCACATGGAAAATATGCACAAGGACGCTTGTGTCTCTTGATGCACAATAATCTGAGGAATATGGGCCACGACCTTCCTTTTTATTGATCTGTGTACACATATCTTGCAAATAATACAACATTCTGTGTAGAGTACAGCAAAAGGATCTTCTCAGTTAATGAGAGTCGTTTGTTCCTTGTGCAAATTTCCGTCGCAGAATTTACAAAGATGAACGACGATGAATCTTGATAAACACGATTTTCCTCGTCGTTTTGTTATAAAACTGTTCAAAACTTGTCCAATTGCTGCCTTGTGGTCTTAGAAAACTAACCTGACCGACCTTAAGATGGAAAAGAACAGAACAGGCGAGGAAAAGAACCCATCACACGGAGATCGGTATAGCGTGGCTGCCTATCATTAATTAGAGACATAGTTGTTCTATATATACTTCTACCACTATCAATAATACTAATACTGAGGTGTTGCTCAGTTAGCTTCTCCCTCCGCAAAAAGCAACTTCTAAAATCCAAATTGATCATGGACTGACAGCAACAGGTTTGTTAGTCACTCGCTCCATAAATTAGGTACTAATTCAATTTTTGGAAAAACGGATTTGTTTTCGCTACCAAATAGTTTGTAGCACTACATTCTCTTAGGTCTTTG